GGTAACTATTGCATTTTATTAATATCAGCAGAACTGACTTACACGGGGCCTGCGTGTTGTGTAGTCTTGCCTTAATCTTTGTATTCATGCCTGTCAGTGTAAAAGAAGCTATTTGCATTTATTTGCATATATATTTGCACGTACATGCAACCACACTTCAGTTGCAGCCCTCGTCATGTGCTGTATCATTCTGGTCCTCAGGGCTTCCAAAGTTGAGTAGCCCTGTGCTAAAGGCTCTGAGCTACCATTTTCCTATTAGCTAGAAGAGCCTGGCAATTGACCTGAAGATGATGGCTTGCTGGGACCAGTGCGAGTTCTCCACACAGGTGTGGCAAGAGTGCTCCAGTGGGAGCTTTGAAGATAACACTGTACAAGAGCTAAATAGCTACTTCGGTTTCTGGTCCTCCTGGGGCTTTGTAAAAAAAATCTTTGTGAAAAAAAATTCAGGGATTTTTCCAGCTTGTGTCAATACTCAGCAGAACCTCGGAATGAACCCGGGCCCAACAGAAAGCTGTCGGCAACAAGCAGCGATAGGTGAAGCCAGTTGGTGATCTAGTTTGACCTTCCATCTAACACAGGCCAGAGAATGTCACTAGCACTTCCTGCCTAACTTCTGGCATAGCTCTTGCAGATTGCGATGGCAGCAGAGATCACAAAACCCTGAGCACAGCCCTGCTGTGCTGCTTTGACAGTTGGATTTAACTGGCTCTGACAGAGGCCTCCAGGGGACATGGAGAAACGTGTCGGTGTGAATACCCATACAGGGAAATTTCCGTTGGGCACGGCCTCCACAACCATGCTGTAGGGAGATCGGGCACAGCCTCTGCAACCGTGCTGTAGGGAGATCCGGCACAGCCTCTGCAACCGTGCTGTAGGGAGATCCGGCACAGCCTCTGCAACCGTGCTCAACTTTGCTTCAGGGCCATGGAGGCTGGATAATGCTGGTGAGCGGCGTTAGCAGCTTTGTCACTGTCGTGAGCACAGCCGGTGGGGACGTACCAGCAGAGTTCTGAGTGAGCTCTGCAGGGCCAGCCTCACACCATCTGTATTTTAGTTCATGGCCGCCTGTTCGTAGCACAGGCTGGGGCACAGTTTGCAGAATTAGCTTTTAACAACCTAGAGTTCAACTCGCTGCTGACGCGGATGATGGTACCAGACATGGGGCTGAAACGATACAATAGACAGTTGACTTCCCACTGGGAGGAGGGGTACCTGAAACCTTACTATGTAGCTGCCTCAGCCCATTTCAGATGCGGCCTGCGGTGGTGACGTTGGTGGTACATGAGCTGGTTCTAGGGATCATGTTTTTTCCTGTTCTATTCCTCTTCCAGGAAAGCCCATCAGAACCTCCCTTTGTAAATGGGGCTGGCGAACACGATGCCCAAACTGCATGGAGATTCCTGCGTCCCACCTTGTGCTGGGATCCATCCTCCTTCCCCTTTGAGTCCCTGCTCCCCACCTGTCTGGGTGGCTGCACTAACTTAGTCCCCTCGCAGTGGTGGCCAACGTGTGGCCAGCCAGACGTTTTGTTTACCGTTGCCCGGGCACAGCGTTGCCAGATTCTGTCACCTTCCATCCAGGCCGTTTCTTTCCTACCACTGTTACTAAAGGGACAGGGAGGTAAAGCAAGAGCACGTGACATGAGGGGCATGCTGATTGCACACAACAGTGACTGTGAGAGCCGGGCACGCCCCTTGCATCCAGTCAAAGTGCCGCTACGGTTCAGTCCACACACCCTGAAAATTCCAGGTACGCCAGCAGTTAGAAAAACTACTCTGGCTCGAGAGACCATCTTGGTTTCAGTTTTGTGGCCAACTGAGATGAAGGAGGGCCGCTCACTAGCCTTGGTTGCCAAGCGCTGCCCTATCGGATTGTTGGGGTAAACTGACACCATTGCCTGTCCCTCTGGGCGCACCAATCTGAGACCAAGAAACTCAAAAGTAGACGCTTACCCTGGCCATTGGGCTAGCGATGTGCACTGGAGAGGCTGTGAGAGCCAAACCATTCTGCAATTAGTTCTCTGTGGATTCATAGGGCTCCCTCCAACAGACTCATTCCCTGTGCCTTTCCACATGAGACGATGTGGCTAGGAGGGATGTGTCCTTCACCAAATCTGTCAGGCAGCAGCCTTTACAAAATTAAGGCTACTGACTCCATGAATTCCAGAGGGTGGGTTCACAGACTGCCAGTCCCTGCTGGGCTGGTAATTACTCTAATCCTCAAACAGTGAACCTGCGGGCAAGTGTCTCTGCATATGCAAGACAGGGGAGAGTTGTGCTAAGTAAGCCTTGGGGAAGATGAGCAGGAAAGGAATGGAACAGCTCTCTGGCATTTAGAGAAAGGGTTGCTTTCCATAGTCCTTTATGCCTTAAAAATCTATTATGGTGATCTAGTTTGACCTTCCACCTAACACAGGCCAGAGAATGTCACCAGCACTTCCTGCCTAACTTCTGGCATAGCTCTTGCAGATTGCGATGGCAGCAGAGATCACAAAACCCTGAGCACAGCCCTGCTGTGCTGCTTTGACATCCCTTAGTCCAGAGAGCTCCCAGAGCTATGTAGGAATCCCAACAAGCACAGGGATCAGCTCTGCCTTCTCCCAACGCTTCAGTGTGGGATGCTGACCCACAATGCTTTGTTCTGCCACCAGGGGCGCTAGCAATGTGGCCATGAAATGTCAACAATGGAAGGAAGTAAAACCGGTTTGACCCGGTATTCACTTTTGTCGCCAAGTGTAGATAGAGCCTAAGTCACTTCTGAAAGGGGCAGCTTGGCTCCCAAGCTACTAAGACACTTTCGAAAACTTTAGCCT